AAAAAATATATATATATATATATATATATATATACATATAATAAAAAAAAGAAAGAGAAAGTCAGAGACATACACCAGCTGAGTACAGTGTCACAGGACATTATTTGGGGCACAGTGGGTCCTCTGGTGGGTCAAGAAAGACTTCAGGAGGGATCCCTAGAGCTGGATCCTTACAGGTCAGCAAACACTCAGTAGGCATGCCGGGGGATTGGCGTTCTAGGCAGATGGGGCAGTGCAGAGAAAGAGTTGGTGATTTGCAGGCTGACACAGTCAATCTGCTGAGAGAACTGTGGACTGGCAGCCAGGTGGGCCCCATCTAAAATGACACCCACTGGGGCCGGAGCTTCAAAGACTTTGAAAGCAAGAACAAGCTACTATCCAGGTGGAAGGAGGGAGCCATGAACAGGTTGAAAGCAGGGGAGGGACATGGTCCAGCGTATGGTCTCTGACCTTCAACTAGGTCCCAGGCCTCAAGGCACCTGTCCCTGTGCTCACTTTGCACACTCTTCAGGTCCTGTCTGGGACTGGTCCTACCCAAGCCTCCCTGCAAAGGTCTGGCAGAGTTGCTGGTAGCTGGAGTCTTTGGGCTGCTTCCCTGACTCATCTGTCCAGTGGTCAATAGTATCCCCCCCAACCATAAGATGCACTTATGACACATCCCTGCCCTTTTGGGGGCTCTCAGTCACATAAATGGGTAACTAGGGCAGCCCCACACCCAGCTCTCGGGGACAGCAGACACCCAGAGCCATCTCCCTGTCCTCCAGCCCCCTCCACCTCCACACAGAGGTCAGTTCCATCTCTGGGGCCCTGTGCTCCCTGTGCCTCTCTGCACTTCATCCTCTCTCCTCCTCTGTTCTCCCTGGGCCTAGTTCAGGCCACCATGGCTTTTGTCTGGGCCAGTCCAGTTGACTTTTCCCTGGGTTTCTTGCCCCCAACTCTGTCCCCTCTAATCAGTGTCCAGACTGGGCCTGTCTGTGTCTTATTGGTCTTTGTGGGTCATCCAGGGTGACCTCCAAAGATAGCTGGAGTCCTAAACAGTAGGAGATAGAGGTTTCAGAGTCATCGGTGTAGAGATTCTCTCAAAGATACACATAGAGAAGGAGAGAGAGAGATCTCTTTTTCTCTCTCTCTCTCCAGAAGTGACTTCTCCACACACACACTCTGCTCTCCCTCTAGGCTCCCTGTCTGGGGCTTGGCACCCCCTCCCACCCATTTGCTCAAGCCAGACTCTCAGGCACTGTCCTCTGTCTCTCTTTTTTTTTTTTAAAGATGACCGGTAAGGGGATCTCACCCCTTGACTTGGTGTTGTCAGCACCACTCTCACCCAGTGAGCAAACCGGCCATCCCTATATGGGATCCGAACCCGTGGCCTTGGTGTTATCAGCACCGCACTCTACTGAGTGAGCCATGGGCCGGCCTTGTCCTCTTTCTTCCTCCCCACTCCCTATGCCTTGTCACCACTCCCTGAACACCTCCCATGTCTCTCTCCCTCTATCTTCCTCTGCCTTTCAGCAGCATTGACATGGTGGGTCACTCCTTCCTTCTAGAAGCCGTTTCTTCCCTGAGCCTGGAGGACACCCTGCTCCTGTTCTCCTCCTGACTGGCCACCGGCTGAGTCCCCCGCTGGCTCCCCTCCCAGAGTCTAAATGCTGGAGCGCCTGGCTCTGGCTTCTTGAGCTGCTTCCTCTCTCTA